TTGCTGTACTTATAAATTTGAGTCTTATAAATAAGCTATACTAATTTCTTTTTTCTGTTTCATTCTATCAATTTGACTACCAGTAATTATTAGTTGTTTAAATAAAAGAATTAATGCTGGAATTTCCACTAGTTTTGGTGGTGCACCGATTCTAAATATAATATCAATTTTTCAAAGGTCAATTAACAAAAAAACAACCGATACATACATATAATAAATTCCTTGAATGATAATAACTTAATCATTGAAACAACAGTATAAATAATAAAATTAAATGAATTTTCTACTCCTTTTAATTGTTCTACATCTTTTGAAATAAGAAATACTTTAGCATCAAATTTTATGACATCATCATATTTTGATTCTGATGTTGAAATAACAGTAACATGTGTACCCATAGCTACACCAAATTTAACAGCCATATGACCAAGACTAATAACTCTAAAAGAAATTTTATAGATTTTAATAAATAGCTGACATTCAATCAATTAATATATCTCATGCGTGTATTTATACCAACATGATATTGTTTTAGAGGTGAATAAGTTGTAATACTAGCACAAAGTAATGGTGTAACTGTATCTAATGGTAAATTTTTAGATATTTTGCTTGCAAAATGTTTTTTAATAGTAATAAAATTTGAATAACCTACAATTAATATAATAGAAATAATAATAATTTTTTCTGACAATGATATTTACCATCATATATTGATGTTACTTTATGAAGTTCAGTACTATTGTTTGTAGAAATTGTGTTCGGATAATGTTGTTCAAGATTCTTCTTACCGAAAAATCATTTTTCAAAGATTAACAATGCAGATATAGAAAAATAAAATATTCTAACACGAATTGCAATGAAGACATGAATCAACCACACAATCAACACCAACATGATCACCGATACGAAAATTTCGAACATTTAAACCAACCTAACCTACGTGTAAAAAGTCTTTGCACAATATCTTTATTCGATTTTCATCCACTCATAGGTCCCAGGAGAGAATTAAAAGTAGTTAGCTAAAATGGGAATTTCATGCTCTTTCTAACTATATATTCGGAAATTTCTTCTGACTTAAATCTGATTTATTGAGAACAAATCTTCGATGGGTACTAAA